AAACGGCGGTGCTTAAATCGACGTGCTATTATATTAGACGATTCTGACTAACTAAGTTCTGATTATGAATGTAAATGATTAGCTTTATAGTACTTTTCATTCAGGAAAAAAAAGCTTTTCAAAATTGTTCTTTTGACCGAAAAGTGAAATAATCAACAACTCTAATTGTGAGGGGGAGGGGGTATTCAAAACAACAATATAAACTTACCAATATCACAGCATTTTATTTAATTCCACACGTGGCGATAAAAATTACAAAACGCGCGCAGTAAAGTTTGAACGTTCAAAGTGAAAGGGAAAACATGCACCAACCAAAACTTAATTCCATGCCCGTTTCCATAAATTGGCTGGAAAATTACCAATTTTAACCCCCTTAAAACATGCGTGCCCGAAAAAGTAGGGGCTTTAACCCCTTTGGCGGTTAAAAGTGGTAAGTACAACGGCACACCGAAAAAAGGGGGGGTTAAAAGTGGTCATTTTCCTAGCCACTTTTACTATACTACTAATATAGTTCAATTTTTCCCGCTTGTATCTCCACTCCGCGTATGTTAATAATATTCTGCTCTTTTCTCCGTCTGTTGTCCGATCTATAAAGATTTCACCGAACGCACATTTCAGAGGAGCTTTTTTTGATTCAATGTGACCATAGATTTTTTTTATACCATGGCCAGCGTTTCAGTGGGTAGTCATTTGCACATGGTAGTCATTAGTCATGCGTGCCCTTTTAGCATAATTGTTATGATAAACTTATTAAATAGATTTGTTATGTTTGATGTTTGTGCCTGTATCTGGAGCGCCCTCTGAGGGATTTTAGAGACAGGTCTGTCAAGTGGCTTTCTGTGGGGATGTGGGAAACTGGAACTGACTTGAGGAGTCTGGAGGTGCGCCGCTCGACCTACTGAGCTCGGGTGAGATTGTTCCTTGTTTTTGATTTTTATAATTCGATTTTAAAATTTAAATTAATTTAGTTGTCTTTTTTTTATTTGCTGATTTGTAAAATTCCCACTAACCGCTTATCATGGGTTAGTTCAGTCCCCTAAAGTCCAGTCAAATCCTTTTTTTACCTTTATGCTGCGTCAAGATGAGGAAAAACAACAAAGAGTGTACAAGCAAAGATTGCTTAAAACCTTCAGGACTGATAAATTGGATTAGATGTGATTGTTGTTATAGTTGGTATCATATCAGTTGTGTAAATATTTCTCATAGCGACTCTATGAAAACCCAATGGTTTCAGTGTCCTTTATGCCTTGATGTAAAATCTTTTAATAAAGCAACAATAGGTTATAATTTAGTGCTAGACAATTATGTTAATACAGCCATCTCAAATATCCGAGTACTCAAGTGAGTACCAAAAGACTCGCGTGTTCCCTTGGCGGAAAGTCTGTCGGACAAAATAAATGACATCGTCTACAATGTAGAAGATGTTACAAAATGGCTAATTTTTTTTAACGTCGTTCTTGTTTTTTTTGGAGCAACCGAAAAGAAGTGGACGCAAACAGACCACAAGCATGAGTTCTTTGATAAATAAAAAAACTCGAGCAAATGACGTGTCACTTCCAAAACCCCATCCCCAAGTTTGAAGCCCGCCTCTGAGTGACCTCGAGCAGAGAATAAACTAATAAGTAGCAAGCTCGATGAAGGAAATGTATGGGAGGAATAAGGCTTGCTGCTTCGGATGACAGAATAGCTCCTTTTTCAACTGATAACTATCAAAAATTGTTGTCTAAGCACCCGCAGCGAGCCAAATTTGCAGCTCCAAGTCCAGAAAAGTTGGATAGTTTTTTCGTAACCGATTTCGACCTATACAAAGCGATAATGTCCTTTCCAAACGGATCAGCAGCAGGTCCTGATAAAATAGTTCCTTAAATTTTTAAAGATCTTGTTAGTAAGTCGAATGGCAGTGCAGGACTTAATTTTCTGAAATCGCTTACCAAGCTGATAAACCTCATTGGAGATGGCAAAATACCCGAACCACTAAGACCTTTCTTTTTTGGCGCAAAGCTTATCGCCCTCATAAAGATAGACGGAGGGTTGAGACCGATTGCCATAGGCAACACGCTGAGACGTCTCGCGTCTAAATGCGCTGGAAGCAAGGCCCTCTCTGAGCAACAAAATTTTTTCGGAAACGTACAGGTAGGATGCGGTACCAAACGAGGAGCAGAAATAGCTGCGCACTCGTTTCGAAACCTAATTGAACGCGACGACAATCCAAAATGCACTGTTCTTTTAAAACTAGATTTTAAGAATGCCTTTAACTCTTTAAACAGAGAAACAATGCTGAATCATGTTTATTCAAATCGCCCCGAATTGTATAATTACACCCATTGCGCGTATGGTAAACCTAGTTACCTTTTTTACGGAAGCTCTGTCATAATGTCAGAAGACAGAACTCAGCAAGGTGATCCTGAAGCCCCATCCCTTTTTGCGGAAATAATTCATACACTAGTCAAACAATTGGAGTCGAAAATTAACATCTGGTATTTAGATGATGAGAATTTAGCCGACGACTATAAGGTAGTACTCCGGGACCTTAAAAACATTCTTTACGGCCTGAGCTTAAACACTGAGAAGTGTGAACTTTGTTTTTTGGGACCGACTACCAGTACAGAGTATAATTCAATTTTAACACAATTTCGAAAAATATGCCCCAAAATAAATATAAAAACAAAAGAAGAGCTCCTCATTTTAGGATCTCCAATCGGCAAACTTTGCCGAAAAGAACTGCTCGACGAAAAAATTAAGGAGCTTGAAAAAATCTCGGATGTCATTGACAAACTAGACGCCCATTATGGTTTTAACCACCTGAAAAATTGCTTTAGCATGCCAAAACTCCTATATTTTTTGCGTACAAGCCCTTGTTTTTTGCAAAATGATTTTTTGGAACGCTAAAATAAATTACTAAGAAATTCTTTACGCAAGGTCACTAACGTGAAAATGGATGATAACAAGTTTTTACAAGCAGTTCTCCCGGCAGCCAAAGGTGGCTTGGGCGTTTCTTCCGCTCGTCTACTCGCTTTACCCGCTTTCTTAGCCTCAGCAGTAGGAGCAAAAGATGCCTTGAGCGAAATCTTTGGCTTGGAGCATGTGGATGAAACCTATGATGATGCGCTTAAACGGTGGTTTGACCTTGGAAAAAAAATTGAAATGGCTCCGGAAAATGAAATCCAAAAAAATTGGACGGAGCCAATTTTTGACAGCGAAATTGCAGACTTGATTTTACGACTCGAACCAACGGACGTAAAAAAGTTCAACGCGTTCCAAGATAGATTTTGCTCCCAATGGTTGAACGTCGTCCCGTGCAAAAATTTAAGGTTAAAACTGTCGAAACAACAACTCGAATTGCGATAGGACTTCGATTAGGATCAAAAATATGCGAACGGCATAAATGCGTGTGCGGAAAAGACGTTACCGAGGATGGTTGGCATGGTCTTTCTTGCCTCAAAAGTGCAGGGAGATTCTCTAGGCATTCAAACCTGAATGCCCTTATAAAGCAGAGTCTATCATTTACTCACATTCCGTCTGTTTTAGAACCACGACACCTCTACAGGACCGATCAGAAGCGACCAGACGGTTTGACGCTCGTTCCATGGGCTGATGGTAAGCAGCTCTTGTGGGATGTAACGGTAGTAGACTCCTAGCTCCTTATAGGATTAATGCCGGGTCTGTTTGTAACCCTGGTACGGCTGCCGCTGATGCGGAAGAGCGAAAAATTGACAAGTATAACGATCTTGTAAATGATGGATATCTTTTTCAACCGCTAGCTTTTGAAATTCAGGGCGCGGCCGGCCCCAGCACAGAAGTTTTTTTGAGCAAGCTTTGTAAGAACCTAAGCATATGCACTGAGGAACCCAGAGCAGGCAGCTTTTTAAAACAGAGAATCTCCCTGGCAATACAGATTGCGAACGCCGCTTGCGTACTCGGAACAATAAATGACAAAATAACTTTCGACGAAATTTTTTACTTGTAACTCTTGTATATTATATTATCTCGTGACGAGTTGCGTGTTTTTAATTGAAGAAACGTAACCCGTATCGATTTTATTTGAAAAGGACTTAAACACTTGTCATCTTCTTTTATCATTATCACTTCCATATCTAAAAAATTCCAAGGATTTTGACTGGAATACATGATGAAGGGACTCATGACTGTAACCTCGGTTACTATGATACTTTTGACCTTCTGATTACATTGTAATAAAAAAAAGTCATTAGTCATTCGCGGGAGTGACTTTCATGACAGTATTTCTGGTCTTTTTGGTCTTAGATTATCACTTCTTTTTACTTTAATTGTTTTATCTCATTTCAAGACTCAAACCACCTTGGATTTTTCCGTTTCCCAAAAGAGCCATTAACACTCTTGGATAGCACCATGCGGATGTAGCTCTATACCTATTAGACTATTTTAGCAGTCCCTGGAAGTGTATCAATGGAACTAGTGAAGCATGCCCGCGCAGTATAATAATATAATCATAATTATAAAGATTTTAGGAAATATCAAGGGGATGTTGACTCCCTTTCAAGTTTTAGATCAAATCAAAAGTTTAGTTCTCTAACGTTTATACAGTTTGTGCAATTGCATTCAACCCTCCATGAGCACGGATTTCCGTCTTTGAGTTTCTCTTTGATGTCTTTGATGTTTTCGCAGTCGATGATGTCATATTTCAAATAGCCGTTAATAAGCTTAGTCAGTGTGCACGCGCGTTGGAAAAAAAATCCGATTCAGATTTTTGTAGTCTGAATTTTGTGCTTTCACATTTCTTCAAGCTCGAATGTCTTCTTTAAGTGACATAAATTTTTACCAGTGCTGGTCTGTTTTGCCATTGATAATTTGATGCAGTAGAAGTAGAATGTGCAGTTCATGATAAAGTGACAGCGGTAGGATTTTAAGTTGAATTATTCTGTCTCTGTATCCATGATGTGCCTGTTGTCATTTTATCTGGCAGATTTTTATCGATTTAAATCTGGCTGATTCATTTTTGTGTTTAATAAAAACCTGTGCTATTATATATTCAACCATTCAAAAACTGGTTTTAATGCCAGGCGATGGTTTTGAATAGCCATTTTTGATTGGTTTGAATACGATAGAAAAACTGGATGTTTTTTAATAGCTTGGTAAATATATGATATGCTTTTTGTCTCTAATCCTTCTATCAGATTAAAGTGTGGCTTTTTCGAAGCGTTGCAGATATATGATTTGTATGCAATTTAAAATATTTAAACCGCGTTGTTATATTGTGCACCTTGTTACCATAATACGCTCGTCCGTATGAGGCTGAAGTGTACTTTGTTCTGTGGAAAACGGACGAAAACGCTTTTTTCGACATCGTGAAATTTGACGTTAGTGATTGAAGTCGCTGTACTTTATACTTTTTGTTTATTCGATTTTTTGTTATATCAATTAATTAAACCGTTTTTTAATACTTCAGATTGAATTAATGAGTTATTGTTGTTGACAAATATATACGAAAGTCTGCAAAAATATTCAATAGTTTGTTCAGACATTTATATATCAAACTAGCAATGGTATCATGAAAGCTCACTAGCGAATAAATAATTTGACAGTTTCAAGATTCTTTTTTTTATAAGTTCTGCCTGATCAATGGACAGTTTCAATGACAGTGATAAAGACAGTTGCCGGTCTTCCTCAAGTGTTGCTTCCAGCAGTTCCAGACCTTCATCATCTGGAAAATCACCCAGATTTCTTACCCTGAAGCCATGCAGCTCACTCGTATTTTTCCCGCCTTCAGAATCTAAAACAGGCAATGACCTGTACGACGATCCAGACTTCAAAAAACTTCTTCAGACTGGCAAAATGCAGCTGGAAGACGAAAAAGAAGTGGAAATCAGTGCCGATGATATAATCACTGGGTCACAACTTGGATCCGGTCAGTACGGCCAGGTGTTCAAATGTCATGTGAACAAGTTTCCTCAATTCAGTTTGGCATATAAATCTATCAGGTTAGACCCGGAGCCTCGGAAGAAGAAACTGATATTGGCGGAACTGGAAGCGACAAGGAAGGTAAAGAATCACGCTTATGCTGTGCAGACATTCTGTGCAATCACATTTGAGACGAATCTCTGGTTCATCATGGAGCTCATGGATTTCTCTCTGAATGATTTGATCAAAGAGAGAAATAAGTATGAGAGTGAAAAGGGGACTGGCAATGAGGTGACGGTACCTGAGTCAGTGGTAAGATTAGTGGCCTATGCTTGTGTGCAGTGCTTGAGCTATTTGAGTTCTCTCAAAATCATACACAGGGACGTGAAACCTGCCAACATTCTTATCAGGTAAGAATTAAAAGTTTAAAGTTTTCGCGCTCCGTGCCGATAACAATCAATATAATTAAGTGGGAACTGATTAAGTTTCGTTTTTTCCCCACAATTAAGTGATTAATGATTTCAATTCAATTTATGTAAATGCAGCTGATCTGTCATTCAATTCCTCGAATTATTGCGTTCGTGTTTGCTAATTATATAAATCAACTCGCCAATAGGAGGATTGGTCAAACAACAAAATCGAATCTTCGCGTCGCACAGAATGTTCCGACCACATTCATGAAAAACTAAATAATAAATTTTGTGCGTGGTAAGAAGAGAGAACTTCAAAAATGCCTAGAACGTTGGTGAATTAGGCTTAGTCGACTACAGTTATATTCAAGACGTTACTAACAAACAAAATGAAAAAAAAAATCAAAAAATGTTTTTCTGCACAACCATTTTTTTAGGAAAACTTTTTGCCAAGGGGCACGGGAATGCTGGATAAAGCTCTTAATATTAGTTTTCCTTTTAAATACACAGGCAAATCTTGTGTTATAGTATGAACTCTTTTTTTTTCAACCTAAGCTGCAAAGATTGTTGCGATAAAAGGTGTTAATTTTGAAAGTGTTCATTTTGATCAATAACCAGCTATTAAATACAGCCAATGCTAAGGATATTGGCACATACTATTATAGTACTAATAGCACTTTAGCTTCAAGGTATCATGGATCTGTAGCGTAGAGGTAGGGAAGGAGACCCGCGACAAAATAAGAGGGTTCGAACCTGGGAAGTATCGGATGTTTTCAATGAACTTTTTCGTATACTGGTTAAAATGCGTCCGCTCTATAAGTTGACTTTTTCAGTTCAAGTTGACTGTTACTGCTAGTGCTGCATAATTGAGAGTGTAGGCTCATAGTCTTATAGGCTCAAAGTTTTACTCATTCAGTTTTTCCCAGTAGCGTTATTGGTCATATTTTGCTTGTGTATGCGAAGGGCAACTTCGCCTCTGTGCTCAACTTCAAATAACGGGTGAAAGGGTGTTTGTATGATATATTAGTCGACCCCTTCCGATGATTGTTTATGGCACCTATTTTATCGTTGAAAAAACACGAAATACAAAGTATCTCCCTATTTTCAATGGTCGGAACAAATACCATTTCATAAAATCGAGTTGCAGGTGGGGCACTGGCGAAGTGAAAGTGGGCGACTTCGGCATCAGTGGACGACTGATGAATAGCATGGCCCACACAGAGATATTCCAGATTCATTACGTATCCCCAGAAAGACTCCAGATTGATGCTCCACCAAGCAACAACAGTCGTAGTAACAGAACTAGTATACCGGACTCGGCAGAGACCAGTCACTCTACTCCCTCTGCGGACAAAAGGAGGACCTACACTGTGAAAAATGACATATGGGCAGTGGGTGTGACATGCTATGAATTTGTCACTGGGCGGAACCCATTCAACGTGCAAGACAGGTAAAACGCTCGGCAGATAACGTTTTATCTGTTTCATTAGGACCTAGAAGTCTTTTTGTATTTGTAAAGTTTGTCTCATTCTACAAAGTTTGTCATAATTTCGCCGTTATTCCTAGTTATAACCCATGATGGTTAATTCATGTCATTTGGACCGGAAAGGGGTACTGCTTGGTCTTACAAACTTCTAGCGCGGTCCAGAAATCCTTTTTTGTTTTTAATACAAACTTCACCACGGGCTTAATAAATGTTTAAGAGTAGCGTAGTGAGTTCTCTTTCATGGGTCTTTCTGATTTTTTTGTTTGTTTTTTTGTTTGAGGTGGCTTTCAGAAACTATTCAATAGATCATTCGTTAGCCTACAAAACTGTTGATGCTTGGTTGTATCTAGAAAGTAACTGAGGTAATGCATTTGAAAGGCCTTACAAATCAGTAGCGGTTAGTATTTAATGATCACTGGTCAATGCCGCTACTTACACGAATCAGTGGCCTATAAATTTATAGAACTTTGCATCGACTTCTTGTGAACTGATGTCCTGAGAACCTGTGGAAACCCAAATTCAGAAGGCAGACTAGTTATTTTTTGGAAACGAGGCGCTCTCACGCTCGCCAAAAGGAAGGAAATACCTCAGATTTATGAAAATAATACCTTTCAGAGATCTACGTCGATCCATTAAGTTACAAATTGCTGTTGAATATTTTTCAATCGAGACATTTTCCATACTCTTTGGTTGAACGCACAGTTAGATAAAATAAAAGAAAATTGTTGCTCTTTTGTGTAGATTTATTTTGTGCAAAGTATATTTGACCAATGAAGTCGTCTCGTCAATTTTTCTTCATACGAGATCCACGTCGATCCATAAAGTTACGAAATGCTGTTGAATATTTTTCATTCGAGACATTATCAGTACTTTCTCTGTGGGTAGAACACACAGTGATATAAAGTAAAGAAAATTGTTGCTCTTTTGTGTAGTTTCGTTTCAAGCAAAGTAGATTTGACCAATCAAGTCGTCGCGTCCGATGTTCTTCATACGGAAAAGAGTTTTTTGGTCATCGAACGGATGCGCGGGTAGGTCAGCCAAAAAGTTCTTTTCCGTTTTGTAAAAGGCGCCATTATAAACAGGAGTAGCGACTTCGTCTTGAAATTTTGTTCAACTTTCGTGGAAGTCTTTTGGTCAAAGTTGAGTGCCGAGGTGTGTGGACTTATGTTGCTCATGTTTGTGAAAACTTCGCGTTTGCTATTCTTTTGCAATCGCAATCAAAGGCACCTGTTTGCATCTGGTATTTTTTAATGTCTCAAGTGAACTGGGGAATTTTGTCGGTGAGCAGATTATGAAAGTATGTTTTTTCAAATTGTATCTGTTGTTTGCCTTTTTTAAGTTTTGTCTTGATTGCTCGGAAGCTAGACTTTCAGCTCAACGTTTTTATTCCTCAAGCAGTCGACCGGAATAGAAGAAGCCAATCAGAAAAAACCTCCGAACATCAGTAACTGGATTTTTACTTGAAACAGTAGAAGTAGTTCGCCGTTTCTTTGTAGCGCCGATGTGTAGCATAGTGCTACCGACTAGTAGTGAAGTTTCTTCACCTGATCTGAAGTAGGAGTCATTGGGTAAGCGTAGCTGGGCAATCCTGTAAATATGGGGGATGCCAATCGTTTTCGGGTAGGAATAAAAATCTGGTCTTGAAACCAAAGTTTTCCACGTCAATTAGCGAAATTTAATGTAGCGTGATTGACTGGATGCCTCGTACCTGGTAACGGGTGCCACTGTTACGCCTAAGCAAAAGAAGAGTTGTACTGGTTGTTTGGAGGCGAATACCTTTGAAAATTGTTTGTAAAAGGCGGCATCCTTGTTTTATTGTGTCTCTTGTCCTTGGAAGTTGAGTTTCCACTGTGTAGACGAGACTGTTTTTAGAGTGATTGTAGCAGATATAGAGATGATCGAACCAATGTTGATTTGTACAATATTTGACAGTTTGACTTGTACAATATTGTAGCGTGTCAACTGAATGCTTCAAAACATAGAAACAACTGCTGCAAATGTCATTAGTTATAACATTTAAGTGATAGGCATAAACTGGATTTAATGTTCTGGTCCTAGACTAGTATTTTTTTTCCATTTAGTTTTTCATTATGATGATGTTGAACTTCTGATGTCGGTGGGTAGTTTCGTTTTTGTTCTAGTCTAAAGTTAATTGAAGCTTACCTCCTTACGAATCTGTCACACAACGTCTCTTCAATAGTAATGAACGTAGTGAAGACTCTTATATATGTCTAGCTGATTTTTTTTTAGGAAAAAGTCTTAAAATGCTGTTGCAGCTACAGATGTGCATCTATACATATTGATGCATTTATGAATGCAGTTAGGTATATATGCACTTTTTGAGTTCAATTGAAATTCATCTGCTGAAGTTGAAATACGAACGTGGAAATTTCGCAAAAAAACGTGAACGATTTCTAGTTTCGGAAGTGGAATTTAATTTTAAGATTTCCAGCGGAATAAAAATTTAACCTGCGATCCAGTTTTCTCAAACTGGGTTAATGTTATGAAAAAAGCGCCGGTCATAACTTGTTCTAGAATTCAAAGAGCTTAACGGGCATCTATTTTTCCTTTGAAAATCGAAAGTTGAGATTTTTTCAGCTATGTCAGTGTTTTTTTTAATGTAAACTTGCGATCATTACTCTTCAATCTTCGATTGGCTATGTTTGAAAGACGATCAGTTGATCTATGGTTACCGTGTCAATTGATGTGTATTGTTATGTATCTTTAACTGAAAGAGTTCTTAATGCGTAGTTAGCTCAACAAAAGCTGGACCATGTCCTGGGGTATCGCCATTTTGGTTTCCTTAGTTCATACTGGAAGTAGTTTTGTCGCTCTTTTGGCTGCTGTGCATGGTCAGGAATTTTTTTTGTTGGTTTCTTCTTTACGATCTTTCTTTTTGTGAAAGAGCGTGATGGCAGTACTGAAAGTCAAGGATATTAATTGGGCCAGTTTGAACGGGCATAGTCTTTGAGCATGCATAGTCTATTTTGTTTTATACACATTACTCCTACCATATGATCAACACTGTTCGACTTACAAAGAGCCATGTCAGGATACCAGAGATCAAAACTGAGATGCTATTCTTCAACTCGAAGTTTTGCACAAATGTGTGTAGAAAAGCAGCAAACCCAACAAAAGGGCGTTCACTTGCAGTTGATCGAAAAATTGCAACTCCCTACTAACAGTTAATTTATGATTGCCACAGGTGTGATTTAGTTATTCTGTCGCTCGATGTTGTGAACAGTTTGTGCCGTAGTTCTCCATGAAAACTTGATTTTAATGAATATAGGGACTCCGTGTGTTTTTTTTGTACAGCAGTTGACTTGTTCAGAGCTACCGTCAATCCGTTGAAAGCTTGATATCGGGAAGCTTGAATTGTTTCGGGCTGTTTTGAAATGTGTTGTTGTTCTGGTTCTAATTGGTACGTTGCAGATCGGAATTGACCACAGTCACAATTCTTGAAAGATTGATCTAGATAATACTTTTTTGAAGCCTCTAGTAGCAATCTTTTATTGTCGTAATGCCGCATTTGCCTGAAATTGGTCGCTCCTAGAGAACTTTGGGTTCTCATAGGAACCATATCGATCGTATATAACTAGATGTCTGACGTTATGGCAGCCATGAAACCTGTTAGAGCCCCGCATATTTCTATAATTCGGTCGGGTTGGCTGGCGGAACGCAAGTAGGTTAAATAATACTGTTGTCAATCGTATCAAGGCTGTTGGCTGCTGTTGATAACTTGCGTATTGGTGTTAAAGGTAGTAGACATTAGCTGCAGTAATATTCTTGCCGGCTGAAATTAGTGGTATACGATGATCGTTGGTGAGTCAATTGAACGGAGGTTATATTTATTTCATTAGTGCCCATGCGTGGCTTCGTTTTGTCGGGTCTTCAATTAAAATACGTTGAACGTTTTCTTATCTAGTTATTGCAGTTCTTGTAGGCATTTCAAACACTCGTTGGCATGTAAAAGAAGATGCATTTATTTATCCAAAATCATATAGAAGCAAACAACAAATTCATCAATTTATTTCCAACTAGTTTCAAACAATTGATATGTAACCATTCACTTGAGTACTTAAGGTCTATCCTCTATTCAAGGAAATTAGAGTTAATATTGGAAAAAAATAATAATAATAAAAAAAGGAAAAAAAAATTTAAAGCGGTTTTTTTGAATCTTTTTGGGCATACTTTGAGGCCAGGCTGTTATCGAAAATTTCATACGATGTCTCAATAATCTCAATAGTTTATGGATAAACAAAAAGGAGAAAAAAGGAAAAATTGAATTTTTACATTTTGTTTTTGAAAATACGAATTATATAATTAAAATTGGAAAGGAATAGAAATAAGGGGTATAAAATTGTGGTTAGACGAGCCCATTTATTTTAATGATAATCTGGTATTATGCGTTAAGAACAGAGTTGTTTTTTTTTCAAAAGTTTCCTAATTTGGAGGATTCGAAATTTTTGAAAAAATGTGATATCTCGAAAACTTAAAGGATTTGGAAGTTTATTTTTTAGGGTAGAATCTCAACCCTAGAGTAATTATCTGTTAGCATTTAAATACTGGGTAAAAAATTTTTAATACACTTCTGAATATCTACTGAAATACATGCTGTACCAATTCGTTATTTTCGAGTATGAAACTATTTTCGAATTTTTGAACGAAAACATTTTCTTCATTTACTGACACTTTTCCATTATTCTCCGGCAACAAATCATTTTCACTCATCATGATCACTTGTTTTGCTCCTCTGTTAATAAAAGAACAAATTCTCATTTTAATTTTACAGAATGGGTGTACTGATGTTGAAATTCTTGTTTTTTATGCAAAACTTTTTATAGAAAACAGAATTCAGAAACTTTGTGGGAAGTCTTTGATTCAACGATCTGAAACTAAATTAACCAAATTGTACACACAAAATTCATGTACTGTTAGTATTTTGTTGTCAATAAAAGATTGTGTAATTGAACCATATTTCCTTTTGAAATAAATTATGCGAACAATTTTTCGCTGGAGCTTGAAAATTTTATTCAAAAAAGCAAAACTCGTGCCACCATATGAGCAAACCATATTGTATTGTTGGCTCCATATTCGACTGATTGTTTTTGAGCAAGATCGCAGTTGGTACATAGTATCTCATTTTTGAAGTTATACCGCAATGCCTCCCTAATTTCAATTTTAGTTTCTGAATTTGTTGAAAAAACTTGAAGTTACCATCTACAATGACACGAAGATACTTACAAGAGGGTTCAGCTTTACAAGAATTATCAAGAAAATTGACGCAAAGATTAGAAACACTTCTGTTTTTTCAAAGTTTTTCAAGGTGGTTTTATCTGAGTTTAAAAATAACTCATTTAGGCACAGCCAGTATTAAATATTTTAATTCGCTTGATAATTTTAATTCGCGCGATATGTTTGTATCGTCAGCGAAAAGAACTAAGTTTGAGTTTGAAACTGCTTGATTTATTACATTTATGTACACCAGAAAAAGAAGAGGGCCCAAAACAGAGCCTTGAGGTACACCTGTAGCGATTGGTAGCCAATCAGATAAATAGTTATTCACATCTACACTTTGAGATCTGTTAGAGAAATACCTTTTCAACCACTTTTAACGTTTTCCACGTACTCCATAGCATTGTTATCTTTTAATCGACTCCTAATCTTATTCTTTACGTTATTTCTGCTAATGCATCGACCTTTGCAAACATCTCGAAATAAAATTGGCAACATAAAATTTCAATATTCTGCTACCAGCTTTAATAAGTGGTAGAACTTTTGCTAATTTGAGGTCTTCTGGTAAAATTCCAGTAGCAAATGAAAGATTTGTCAATCATGTTGAATAAGGTGCTATCGCAAAACGACTTTTTAAGAGAAAGACGTTACTAATTTCATCAATCTCATATTTCTTTGGATTTTAAGAAAGTTATAACATTGATAACCTCGAAAAATGAGCAGTTGAATAGATACACCGATTGACCTGCTATGTCAATTTGATACACTGGATTAAAAACTTCCACATAATTTAGTTTTTCAGCGAACTGGTTGCCAACAGTTGAACAGTACTCATTAAAAGCGTTAGCTATTAATGGAGAGTCAGACAAATTTCTTTCATCTAATTTGAGTAATTTGAGTTCTTTGGTTTTAGGGTTTTTAGCTTTATTTTCATTTAAAACCTATATTTACCTTTCTGGTTTCCATAATTTGTATTCAAGATTGAGTTTTTCAAGCTTTTATGATGCCAAAGAGCATTATTTTTGTTTTAAGGACACCATTACTCTATGGGAGCAAACTCGTTTAAAGATTTTTGAGGGCAATGATTAAATTTATGGTCGGCAGTGTTAATGTTTACATCATTGATTAGGTTGGAAAGTTTAGTTTGAGAACAGGCAGGAAGTCCTTCATTTGTTTTTCGTTTGTTAACAAAGACATATCACGGTAAGAATAACCCGATGAATGATTTTCACTGAAAAACATAATTTTAAGATTACTGAATAGTGGTCGGAAAAGCATTCATTTTCCCTTACTTTAATGGTAAGGTTTCCCAAATTTCATTAGGGGTTTCCCAACTAACTCGAGTTGCAGACTTATTCAGTAGTTCAAAGCCATTGGTTGTTATTGAATCTAGGTATGTTGCTCTAAATTATTACTCACATTACTGAAAGTATCGATATTGATGTCTCCGGCTAATATTATTGGTAAATGAAATCGAAAGATTTTCTTACTCTTTATCAAGCTAATCGAGTTTTATTGAAGCGCGGCGGACCATATGCTAACGCAGTTATGAATTTATTCCCACCAATTTCAACAAGTAATGAGAGGAAATCTGGCAAACCACTATCAAGTTGTAAAATTGAATTTATTTTTTCGCCAAAGGGTATCATAGTTCCACCAACTCTTGTTATTCTATAATTCGTGCTAACGGTGTGAAAACCTTTGATTCTATACATATTGAGATTGTCATTTTCATTTAAGCAAGTTTCTGTTAAACATAATATACTAATAGCAGACTCGAGACTATTATGAACTGCTTCTACATCTTCGTGATGCTTTTTAACCCAGCGCTCATTAGACAGTCAAACATTAACATTGCATATACGATTTTCTGTTATTGTAGTTAAGGTTTTTGGCGACGTTGATGATTTGTTAGAAACATTTTTCCAAAGCACTTTTTAACATAGTTAGTGTCGTCCTGCAGCTTTCCTTCCTCGAATAATTAGAAACTTTTTAACTGCAGCTTTCCTTCGTCGAATAGTTAATAATTTTTTTAACTCGTTGATTACTTTCTCACTGAATGAAAAAAGTTCCTTCAACCGTCCAGGCGTTATCAGTACGAGGATCGTTTCTCATCAAGTTGAAAAATTTGAGCCTTGGTCGGCTCAAGTATTCGAAAACGTGATAATTCAGCTGTTGATTTTCTCTCAATAATTTTGGCAGCCCTTTTCGCAAACTTGACAATTATTGGTCTACTCTGGGTGCCGCGCCCTGGGAGTCAATGCGCAATAGATACATTTTTTTCATCAATAGTCGCATCAATTTGTCTTGCTAAGTCAATCACCTGAGTTAGCGTTACGTTTTCCTGTTCATATTCTTTGCGATTTTCAGATTGCTTAATTTCCTCACTTAAGTCGGTTATTCTTACATTGTTTCGCCGATTGTATTCCGACAGAATTCGTAGCTTTGAATTGTTTGCTTGATCTACAACTTTTTCCTCCACCTTCGATTGGTATTTACTTATGAAGTCCACCGTTACTTCATCAACTAAACGCTTTATTACTCGTTCATTTCTGTACGGATAGTTTGAATATAACCTCAGTTTTAAGTATCTCCATTTGTTTCGAGATAGTAGTTTCGATCGTCTGTGATTCAGATTTTTTTGTGGGCTCAGCATAATTAACGATCTTCTGATATTGGGCCTATCTTCCTTTCTGCAATTGCCAAGAGGGTTTTGGTCCTGAAATCTCAAGTTGGTCATTTCTTTCAATGGGAACTGGCTCTTGTCCTGAATCCGTTTTCAGTTCTCTGAAACTATTTAATAGGTTTATCCCAACAATTAGGCTAAAAGCCTAATTTTTACATCCTCTATTTCAATTGTGCGTTTTTTCTGACGAGTTTCCGTTCAAAGTTTTTAACAGAAATATGTCCAAATTTCATTGTTTTTTTACAATGTGTGACAATCTAAATATTTTTAATATGATCTTTTTTTTTATAAAAGGGTGGACTTAAAGCAAAACACTCATGTCTTACACAGTAATGACTCTTTTATCAATTCAGAAGCTGTCCTAGTCGATCAATGATGGTCGAATATTAATATTACATCAAAGAGATGTTTAAACAATCTAGGTTCCGCAGTTAACTTGAAGTAACGCAACATACGATTGATGACTCATAAATCTCAGTGATTCAATAAATAAAGATTGCAATTAATGTTTAAACCATATCATTAGTTTCCGTTCTGACTTGCAAGATAGTCATCCTCTATCCACTAGGGAGCCGTAGCGGATTTAGGGGGGGGGGGGTTGCCCCCTCAGGGATTCGACCACCTGCCGACCCAAAGGGTCCCCCCTTTGAACTATTTTGAGATATCCATTTTTGGTTGACGGACCCCTAAATTTTTCTAAAGGCGCCTTCGGCGCCAATAGATACTAATTTTGAGGCGGGAGCGCGCGCCGAAAAAACGCAATTTTTTGGTCAAAAATTTTTAAAAAAAGCCTAAAAACGCCTTTTTTCAAAAATTTGCCTGCGGTGCAGAAATTTTGGTCAAACTATGGTCTTTATAGTGGTTTGGGAGAAAAAAAAGGTCAACAAAATTTTCGAAAGTTTCGGCATACAAAACTAACTGCCAGCAAAACTAATAAAGCGCAGGAAGTTTTTATGATCAGATTCATTGTCAGAAAAAGATGGCGCGGAAAGTTTTTGTCAGTTTTCTTTTGACCAAGAAATAATGACGGTGTGATTTGTTCAGACTTTTCGACACTCTGACCAGGATACGAGAATATGACCCCCCTGAATTAAGTTCACTGCCCAACATAGAAGCATCTCAGGATCTGAGCAGTTTTGTTGCCAGCTGCCTCATAAAAGATCCCGAGGAGAGACCCAAATACAGTCAGCTGAAACAGACACCGTTCTTCAAATCTTTCAACGAGGACACAGATCCTCAATCATTAACTGAATATTGTCGAAAGTTCAGAATTTGTAGCTCATAATTACTTAAGTTAGACCATTTTTCTGAATTTAAACTATTTTAATCACATGTTTTCATTCTTGGCCGACACATCTCAGATCAGTTTGATGGGCTTTGATCAAATGGACGTGCTGTAAAACATAGCTGATCAGAGTATGGATCGGTTTCGTCGGGAGCAAATGCGATTTTGTTCCGTGCGGTTTTATTTAAATAACGACATCAGCTGCCAAAATTCAATAAAAAAAATAAAATGTTAGTTGACTTTTTTTAAAAAAAGTAATTGAAAAATATATATTAAATCGAAAACTTTAATATTTAGTTATAAAATTACAAGTTTTTATTTTGAGCAGAGAAGATGCTCTAAATAAGGGAATATTTTTCCTGAAAATTTATTAAAACGGATTGTTTTTTGTAACGTTATTATTGTTTGAAAGTTACAAACTTTCGACAATCTAGGCGCTATACATTTGAAGCTATCAATGCAAAAATCATCGATTTGGGACTCAGAAGAACTGGAATTGAGGCAAACTATTCAGTCTCCTTAATAATTAACTTGCTAGCTACTCTAAGAGGCCACATGCATCGCTTAGTACTATCGCTTTTTAAATCGTCAATGATGATAAAGGGCAGACTGAACAATCAGAGCTTCGCTTTGAGGGTCTAGGATAGGACAACACGCCGATCGGACTTCAAGCCGAAAAGGGACATGAAGCCGAAATTAATACTTTAAAAGCACCTCAAAACACTACTTTATCATAAGTAAAACGTTTCTTTTCAAAAATTTAGGCATGTTTAGTCCATAATACGCGTTATTCATGACAATGCACCACTCCTTATTGGCATCCGTTAATAAAATCAGCCGGTTTTTGAAATGCATAAATTATAATAATGAAAAATGCATTCAACCATGTTTTACTTTTCAATTTTCCGAAACATCATTTGGAGGCTTAAATTTTATGAAAACGCCAACAACTAGTGAAGAAAGATCATGAAATTCAGAAATTGTTCAAAAAAGTTTTCAAAGTAATCATATTTCACGACTTTATAAGGAACTATTCGACTTGAAGTCCCTAATTTTACGATTCGGCTTGAGGTCCCGTCGGCTTGATGTCCGGCGCCCCGTTTTGATACAAGTAGTCTTAATTAAACTTGCATCTATTTTTGAAACATTGAAAAAAAAACAGAAAGCTGTAAACCACAGAAATTGAAATCATATGACAGAGGGCCACAAATTCTTTTCATAATTACTGTCATATTGAGAACGCTCAATCTTTGTGATAACCAGGGATTTCAGAACTGCATTCAAATTGTTTGAGCTTAAAAATGGTAATATTTTCGAAATTCATGAAACGCCGACCAACCTGATACAAAAAGTTCAGTAAATTCATTGTCATTTTTTTTGCTTTCTAAACATAGCCAAATGAAAGAACTAGCTACCCAAAAAGAATCAGAAAGTTATTCCAAAATTGCAATTGAACGAACTTTTGAACGAATTACTTGATTGTTAACTTGTTTGCAATTTGCTAAGAAAACTCAGCTATTTTGCTGAATTTTTTCTAGTTTTCTCGACTTATTGTTAAGATAAATTTCTGATAAAGGAACAAAAGTTAACGCCTATGCAGAAGATAGAGTCATTTTAAATTTTTGCTGTCAAGTTGAATAGGAGATCCCAAGATAAAAGTTTCAAAAATTATCGGTAAGGGGTCATCTAACTTCACGATGCTCGAATGCGGAAAAAAATACAGGCCACTTCTGCTTAACTTTTGGAATGAAGATAAACCAGAGATTTTTTTTATAAACGAGTAAATAAATGTTCAGGAGTGTTTTTTTTATTGGAAACCTTTAGGTTTTTGCAAGCTCAAAAGTCTAATTTTTGAATTCAGTGCATCATGTTACTGCACAGTAGTTTTTGCAGTTTGGAAAAAAATTTGACGGATTAGGTATAAAAGAATTTAAGATCTAAAAACAGAAC